GCTAGGAAGAGATATTTAAGGGGGATCTAATAGTGTTTTAAATTTGGAAGGATTCAATAAGATTAACATAAATAGGTGCTTCCATTGGTTGGGGAAACAACCAGAGGACACAAATATAAGATAGCGACGAGGGGATCAGAAAGAGAATTTAGAATGAACTATTTCACGCAGAGGAGATTGTGAACCTCATTGCCTGAAGCAATGGTTGAATCCATTAATAACTGAACCTATAGAACCTGCAGAAAACTTTGAACCTGAGCACAGATTATCTTTATGGTATGATAGTAAAGGGAGTCAATAAACTGAAGATAGACAAATTTGGAGAAAAGGAGATCCAGGGTACTCAGTGATGTAGCATGGTGACATTTACCCATTCATATTTATAATACTTGTATTTGATATAACATGTCATTTTAAATGCTCTTGGATTAGTTAAGCAAGATAAAATGTGGTGTCCTGTAGCTCAATGGTTAGAGCACTCGCCTCACAAGAGAGAGATCTGGGTTCAATTCTTGGCAGGGTGAAATGTTGGGCAAGTTTCCTAACTCACACACCTCTGTTTACCTAACAGTAAGTAGGAACCTGGTTGTAAGTCGATTGATGGATCGCTTTTCTGGGGGGTAATAATTCCCTCAAAAATTTGGTAACTGAAACCACAGCTGTTTGTGGGACACTGCTGTGTGTAATTGGCTGCTGCGTTTCGCCCACAAAATATGCAGTCAGTTCACTTTACAGTATATTCGTTTGTATAATGCCTTTGTTTGGCATATGAAGTACTTTCTTTTTCTCTACTGTTTTCCTCCCTTCTCTGCCCAACAATACTAATCTTCTTTTCACTACCTCTGCAAGTAGAACCTAGAAATAGATGGAGAAACTACTGGTACAATTTGTTAAGAGCAGAACTGCATTATAGTTACTAAGCTCTAGTGAGCAGCTTCACTCTTACTGAGTAGCATGCAAAGCCCTGACTCTGGTGGTATGAAAATCTTAACTGAGTGATTTCTTGAGTCAGGCAAATATTGCATTGCATCTCTGTTGAAGCTTATTGCTCCAAGGCTCCCTTAATGTAGTAAGTAAAAGCACCAATGTAGCATTTAACATAGGAGATTAGAGACTGCAGGTTCATTTGTTCTCCCACCGTCTCCACCTTGTTTTCACTAATGGCTTCTTCCCCGCAGTGTGGCGTCCATAGAGCTCTGTCCTTGATCCCCTTTTCAGCATTTACATGCTCCCTCTTGTTGACATCATCCATAGGCATGAGGTCAACTTCCACATGTATGCGGATGACACCCGACTTATCTCTCTGCCTCCACCCTTGACTCCAGATCCACTGCTGTCCTCACAGACTGCCTGTCAGACATCAATTCCTGTATGAGAGCAAACTTCCTCCAGTTGAATGACAACAAGAGCGAGGCCCTCCTGCTTGGCTCCCGTCAGCGCCTCCATACAACAGATGCTGACAGCATCTTTCTAGGGACCAAGGACAGAGCCCTAGGGATGCCACACATGACGGTGTGGGGGCTGGAGGAGAAGCCATTTGTGGACACAAAGTGGAGAAACGGTGGGAGAGATAGGATTTGAAACAGGCAAGGGCAGATCCGTGACTATAGATCCCTTCAATATCCAATGCACATTATACCTCACGGAGCCTCACAGAACTCAGCATCCTGTTTCAATCCTCAACTGTCCTTTATACCCGACATCCACGCCATGACCGGTTTGCCTTCCCCACATACGCAACATTGCCCGGCTCCGCCACCATCTCTTACCACAGGCTGCCGAGATCCCCCTACACGCATTCATGACATCCAGGCTTAACTACGCAAACTCCATGTATTTCGGCCTCCCCAACTCTTCCCTGCATGGGCTGCAGATCATCCAGAACTCTGCAGCCCGTGTCCCCTCCTGCACCAGGCTCCGTGACCTTATCATCTCCATCCTCTCCTGACTCCACTGGCTTCCCATCACACAGAGGATACAGTTCAAAATTCTGGTCCTCACCTTCAAAGCCCTCCATGGCCTTGCTCCCCACTACCTCTGTAACCTCCTAACCCCCTACCATCCTGCCTGCTCCCTCCGCTCAGCGGACTCCAGCCTGCTTCACCCCCGCCTCGCCCACCCCACCATTGGTGACGGGCCTTTAGCCACTTTGCCCCCACCGTCTGGAACTCCATCCTATAGTCCCTCCACCTCACTCCCTCCCTTGCCTCCTTCAAGACCCACTTAAAGCTCCTCCTCTTCAACAGTGCCTTAGGTCACCCTCCTCTCCCCACCCTCCCCGATCCCAACCCCCAGCTGACTGTCTAGAGCCTTGGGACGTCCTCCTGACATGAAAGGCGCTATCCAAATGTAATTTGTTGCTGTTGTCCTGATATCATCGTTCTGAATTTTTTTGTGGTCGCAAACAAAAGTACAGCAGTGTCCCACAAACAGCCATTGAGTGAGTGACCAATTTAATTTGGGGGATTTGTTGGTCAGGACACTGGGAGAAATTCCCTTCTCTTTTTGAATAGTGCCGTAGTTTTTTTAACATTCACCTTAATAAGACAGGATTATGCACTGGTGTGACAAACATGTTCTTGGTATCTGGATGCTTGTGTGACTTTCCCCCCCCCCCCCCCTCAGATCTGCCTCACTGGTGAGAGTTAAGAATCTGTGGGTGACACAAGGATGGGTACTCTATTGTCAAAGTGCTTATTTCTTCTGAATCGGTTTGACTTTGAAACTACTGAATATTGCCTTAGCCTGTTAGGCCAAATGGAAGCTCAAATTTCCTATTCAAAATAATAATAATTCTTGCATTTGATATAGCGCCTTATCACATTGTTGAGACGTCTCAAACTGCTTCACAGAATATACTGTAAAGTGAATTGACTATATTTTATGGCCACACGCGGCAGCCAATTGCGCACAGCAGTGAGATTGAGTCCGGAGATAAACAGCACACAAGGCCCGGCCAGAAGCTTAATTTTTTAGCAGGTTTATAGCAGAGGGCACTGTTTATAGATGATTCTGCGGAAAAATTGTGGCCACATTTTTCTATTGGCCCAGCTCATAGCTCAGTACTGTGTGTTCTTTCTCTTGGTTTTATTGGCTGCTGCACAGGGACAGCTAAGAAAATTGAAATATTTTTAGTTATCGTTATACTGTGTAAGCACTTCAGGTCTATGCACATGTAGAGAAATTCTGTTCTCAAAAGCTTTTTCTGAATGATTTCTTCATCCAGTTGTTGCACATCAGCCAAATATTTCAGGAGTGAAACTGCATGTGAGCTGACTGCCTTGCGGGCTAGATTAAGGAACGTTGTGTACTTGTGATGCCAGAGTTAATGTTTAGTCACAGTTAATTGTTTTGAATCATATGAAAAACATTTTCAATTTTAATCATATTGGATTCCTTTCAAATTTTATTAATTTTTTTGACTACAGAAATGACCGACTTCTAGGTTGCATCTGTGGTGACCTTACAATCCGGAAGTTGGTCAAGTTTGCAGTTCAAAATGTTTTTTTTAAGAATGGGAATTCATTTTCTTCGATTTGGAGAGAATCGGAAAAACAATTTAATGCTGTTTTTTACAATTTATAATTGGAAACCAGAAAGTCCACACTGTATAAATAGATAGTTTTCAGGAAAAGGACAAGAATAGCATTTGTTTGACTGCTGGAATTGCTTCACAACAATCCTCATGTGCAACTTTGCATTTGCACAACTGGATAAGAACATTCATTTTCAGAAACCGATGGATGCACACTACTAGCATTTGGGGTTCATTTCCTTTTTTAAAAAAAAAATCAAATTCATGAAAAATCCATGAACCCGAAACTTTCCTTTCTCCATAGATGCTGCCTGACCTGCCGAGTGTTCCCAGCGACTTCTGTTTTTGTTTCAGATTTCCAGGTTCTGCAGTATCTTGCGTTCCGCCATAAATGTAGTTTCTGGCCGCTCACGCTGTTTGCCTGACGCCACTGTGTGCAAGGTGGCTCCGGAAGCGCAGCGCAGTCGGCAAATGGGCTACACTCGGAGGCCCCACTGTTGTGGTTGTCTGTGAATGTCTCAATGTGTGTGTCTCTGTCTGTGTGTGTCTCTGTCTGTGTGTGTCTCTGTCTGTGTGTGTGTTTGTGTGTGTGTGTGTACACACATCTCTTTGTGTCTATGTGCAAGCGATAAGATCCATGTGCGTTTCTCTCTCTGACTGAGTGTGTCTCTCTCTTTCCGTGTATGTCTCTATGTCTGAGTGTGTCTGTGAGTGTTTGTGTCTCTCTCTGGGTCTCTGAGTGTGTGGCTCTCTCTGGGTCTCTGTCTCCGTGTCTGTGTGTGGTGCCGGCCCTGAGAGGCAGGAGATGGTGAACTACTGTAGCCTCACTGGTATCATTCCCCACCCTCCCCCCGCCCAAAAAATAGCCCAGTTTTTGTCGAAGAAGCAATTAATATTTTTTTGCAACAATCTAATATGTGTTATTTCCTTATGCTTAGTTTTTATCAATAAGGTGGAAAAAATGTAGCAGTAAAATGTACCTCAATAGCACCAATCAATCCCCGCAAAATTTAGCAAACCCTCCACAATTTCCCTCAAGGCATGTAAAGAACTCCATAATGTTTTTGCAAATATATTCACACTTTTCTATTGGCTCAGGTTATGGCTTTTGAAGCTGCAAAGATTAAATACTAAAATGTGGATTTTGCTCACTAATTGTGCAATTTGGGTGTTGTCTGGAATAAGGGGTTACACGCATGGCATGTAGTATCAGCATTAGGTTTATTACCACACTTTTCTAAATCTGTATAATCTGACATTTCACAGTTGTTTGGTAGTTTAATATGCACAAAGTAAATGTGATCCTGGGTGAAGTAAATGTATTGTCAAAGTCTGGCTATCTATCGAGGAAGGCTATTTATGGGGCAGCTCTTTGAATACTGTAAGTGAAATGATAATGAGTAGATTTATCTGTAGATTCACAGGTCTGTGCAGGCCTTAACACTTGCATCATTTTGTGTTTCAGGTTCCAACTCGTCAGTACAATCATGGAAGAGCAGAAGTCTGCTTCAGAAGGGCCGCTGATGGAACCATACCATTATTTGCTTCAGCTACCAGGTACGTTGTTACGATTACTATACACTTTTAATGACGAGGCAATATTGTGAGATGCTAGGTATTTGTGATATCAGGTATGAAAGCCATAGCTACTGTAAATTTTTATGTAGCTGGGGACAGGCCTTAAAACTGTAATATGTCTAAATTCACAACAAAAATTACATTTATATAGCGCCTTTCACACCAGGAGAACGTCCAAAGGCGCTGGACAGTCAGGGATCCGCACTACATTATTATTTAAGAACATACTGCAAGATTTTCAACCTGATATGCTACATAGAAATTTAAAGCATAGAAGACAATTCTTTTCTGTGCTGGCCATTCAATTCCCTTACCTGTCTTTTCCCCGTACCCCTACAAATAACTCCACTTTGGACATTCATCTTGTTCTCTTTTGAAGGCTAATATGGATCTTGCTTAGCCCACCACACCCAGCAGAATATTCCTAACACCTCAACGCATGTCTGTTACTCTTACATTTTTTGTACTTGTCCAGTGTCTGGTCATATTAGTCTGATTTTTAAATGGACAAAAGATCTCACAAAAATTCACGTTCATCTGGATCCTGTTTTCTGGTTGAAGGACAACTCTTGAGTCTTTTGTCCATTTCTTCATGGTCCGTTTTCATGGTTTATCGAAATGGACAGAGGCGTAAGGGGCCTGTGGGGGGGGAGGTTGTGTGTGTGTATGGGGTGGGGGGGGGAACGCTGTGGGTGAATGGGCGGGGGGCCGCGGGTGCGGGCGGGGGGCCGCGGGTGCGGGCGGGGGGCCGCGGGTGCGGGCGGGGGCCGCGGGTGCGCGGCGGGGGCCGCGGGGCGGGGGCCGCGGGTGCGCGGCGGGGGGCCGCGGGTGCGCGGCGGGGGGCCGCGGGTGCGCGGCGGGGGGCCGCGGGTGCGCGGCGGGGGGCCGCGGGTGCGCGGCGGGGGGCCGCGGGTGCGCGGCGGGGGGCCGCGGGTGCGCGGCGGGGGGCCGCGGGTGCGCGGCGGGGGGCCGCGGGTGCGCGTATGTACATAAGGGGGAGCCGCACGCGCGCACTTGTGTGTGTGTGTGTGTATGGATGGTGTGGCCGCGCGCACGTTTTTGTGTAGGGCCGCGCGCGAGTGTGTGTCGGTAGGGGGGAGCCGTGCGCACGTGTGTGTGTAGGTAGGGGGCCACGCGTGTGTGTGTAGAGAGGTGTGCGCGTGTGGGATGGGGACCCTGTGGGAGGGGAGCTGTGTGTATGGGGGGGGGGCTGTGTGTAGGGGGGGAAGCTGTGTGTATGTGGGGGTGGGTGGGCGTAATTGGGGCCATGCCCAGGACTGGGGCCATGTGCGTGCACGGGCCTAAGGGTGGGGCCTGGCGGATGCGCATAAGCGGAGGGCAGCCTGGTGCGCGCGTAGTGGAGGCGTGTGTGCGTGCGTAAAGGGGGCCGGGGGCACGTGCGCGTAAGGGAGCGGCCATACACCGGCGCATGTAAAAATGGGGGCATAGGGGCGGGTGTGCGTATAATGGGGGCGAGCGCACGTAAGAAAATATCACAGAAAACATCAGACAGGCATTTTAACAGGAAACCAGCCTGGTAATTTCATGCTTGTACACACCCCATAGCATGTCCATACTGACGAAGGGTTGTGGACCCGAAACGTTGACTCATCTTCCTTTCTCCATAGCTGCTGCCTGACCTGCTGAATTTTCCCAACTACTTCTGTTTTTGTTCCCTTCGCTTCGCTGACTCCCTGTCTCCTTCAAGGCACGTCTAAAGACCCTCCTTTTCGACTGTGCCTTCGGCTACCCTTCACCCTTCCAGTTCCCAACTCTTCCCTCCCCCCACTCAGGTCCAAATCTCTGACTGTCCAGCACTTTGGAACATCCTCCGAACGTGAAAGGCACTGTACAAATGTATTTTTATTTTGTATTATACGCAGGTGCACACTTTCACAGGAAGTGGTGGCCATTTTCACAGAAAACATCAGACAGACATTTTAACAGGAAACTAGCCGACGCAGCCTAGTAATCTCATGCTTGTACACACCCCATACATAGCATGTCAGTCTGGCTCAGTTGGTAGCACTCTCACCTCTGAGTCAGAAGGTTGTGGACTGAATCCCCATTTCGGTACTGGAACTCGGTCAAGGCCGACACTCCAATACATGCTGGAGGAGTGCTGCGTTTTTGGATGAGAGATTAACCTGAGGTCCCATCTGCCTGTCTGGTGGACATTGAAAATCACATAGCATAGCACTATATTCAGAAAGAGAAGGGAGTTTCTCACGGTATCTCGACCAACATTCCCCCTGATAAAATTGATCGTTCACTCTACAGCTGTTTGTGGGACATTGCTGTGTGCAAACTGGCTCCAATGGTTAACTACAAATTATGCAGTCACTACACTTTACAGTAAATCCTGTGAAATGCTTTGACACATCCCGCTGAGTTGAAATATGCTGTTATCAAATGCAAGGATTTTTTTTTATTGAAGGTCAAATGTGTTTCACAACCCTACTTTATGCATGACTGAATCAAATGGCTATGGGTGATGGATATCTCTCAACATGAATAAGTTGCTGACAGGAATCGCCTCTCTGAAGAAATTCTGACAGATTCCTTTAGTACTTTGTTTTCTGCCACAGAGTGTAATGTGTGTATACCTGACACAAACTTACAACAGAACACTGCCAAAAAAAATTAACACTCATAAATTGGAGTTAAAAAGTCGGCTATTACTTTGTGTGATATTCTTTGAATAAATGTTGCAGTGTCATTATTCTATCTTTTATTTTGTAGTCAATTTGAAGCTGACTGTCAGATTTATATCCTGTATCTTGCTAAGTGACTCTGAACTCAGTTCAAATTAATAATTTTCATAAAACTTTTTTGTCAACTTCACAAATTTAGTTTTCAAAGCTAGCTCTGCAAATTAGAAGATCTTTAGTTCAGGTTGTGTTTCTCTGTCCATTTTCCTGTTTGTGGGGCTGAAGGTTGCAGAGTTGGGGCAATATTTAAGCGAACCAGCAGTGTAATATTAGTATTATATTGCAGCTCTAGTGTTTCATTTTCTACTGTTTAAAAGGAAATTACCATGACGGTCTTTCTGATGTGAGGCTTGTGACTGTTTGTACAGGAGGACCTATGCAGTTGTTTTACTGTACAGTACAGTGAAATAAAATGTGATTACTACAGTTAAAATCATAATACAATTAAAGGCTTCCAGCTGCTCCACTGGAGCATTGTACAATGTAGTCTAATCTTAATTCTCTGCTTCTCCCATACCCTTTACGTTCCTGCAAATGTTTATCCAATTCACTTTCCAATATTATGGTCTCTGCTGAATTGTTCTAGCACTGCATGAAATTTTCTTCAATCCTCTCCCTTTAACTCTTCCAGTGACAACCCAGGGTTTATACCCCTGATTTACTGATATTATCTATTAGCAAGAAAAAAATCTTTTAATATTAAGACAGTATATATGGGAAGTAAAAATAAGAAGCTGGGGTTTTATTTGACTTGTAACTCATCACTTCCAAATAATGCAAGACCCCAATAAATGAGGTCAACTGAATAATGTAATAGAAAGATAGTAGGATGGGTATTCTGTAACGATGAGAAAAGTCTGAGCTTTCATCCTTATCGCTCACTATTGGACTATGCCTCAAAATTGAATGAAAATGTCTCTTGGAATTTTTTTAATGGATTGGAGTGGCGATAAGTTCCATCTTATTTGTAGATTTCAATTGCTGCCTGGTAACGTCTGTCAACTTGTGTGTTGTAACTGTGGTTTGCAATATGTTCTCTATCAGATTAAATAAATGGGCATGATGCTCCCACTTAACAAAAAGGACCTGAAGATCCTTAACCAATCTCTTTAATGGTTGATGTTGGATGATTGGTGGGAAGTTATTCCTTAGCTTTCAGCCTCTCAGCCCCGAGGCTCTGGAACTCCATCCCCCAGTGCCTTCGCCGCTTCCTCCCTTTCCTCCTTCAAGGCCGGTCTCAAGACCTTTCTCTTCAAAAGTGCCTTCACCTCCCCTCTCGACTCTCTACCCCCTCCTCGCTCCCTCCCTTCCCTCCCCTCACCATTTCCCCCCCCCCTCGGGTCCCAACCCAACTGTCCAGCGCCTTGGGACGTCCTCCCAACATGAAAGGCGCTCGCTCTATAAATGCAATCTTATGTTGTTATTGTTGTTAGCTGAATTGTTAGAAGAAGGCTGGAGCCTGCAACTCATTTGCTCTAACCAGCATCTTTTTCTTAAATAGGAAAACAAGTAAGAAGAAAACTTTCACAAGCATTTAACCACTGGCTGAATGTTCCAGAAGATAAACTGCAGGTAAAGGGTCTTTACTTTTTAATCAAGATCTGTAAAAAGTGAAATATTTCTATTTTATCAATGCTTGCAAGGGGAAACTTGATGGAGAAGAGAATAGAGGGGTGGAGGCTTTTGTGGAATATAAACACTGCACATGCTAATTGGCCAAAAGACCTCTTTCCATATTGGAATGTATATTTTGATGTTTCTGAACTGGATCATGATGCATTCTGGATTTCTGGTCAGAAGAGAAACAGGAAAACGGGTTGGCTTGTATTGTTGCTTCGATTCAAAACTAGTACTAGATGTTTAGTGTTTATTTGGCTGTCCTTCAGTCGGAGTTGGAATTTATCCATAGAGGAACTTCTGCTTCAAAATCAATAAGTCTTTTGAGCTTAGTTTGTTTTCTACGCAAGTTCCTTCGTTGAGGTGTGAGTGGATTTGGAATAGTTGCTCCAGTGAAGTTGCACTAAGCCTTTCCAGAAGCAGATGACATTCAAAGTTTGCTTGGAATAACGAACACCACTTGCAATGCATAATTTCTTCCAAGCTCTCCAAGGGAGCTGCTCGTACAATATTTGAAATGCTGCAAAGGGTTCTGTTGCTCGCTCATGTATGCGCTCAGTTCAGACTCCCAAGTGGCAACTTTGTATTTCAAACACAAACACTCTAACATCACAGAATTAAAGTGTAGGGCATTGAAATCAGTTTAAAGACTGCTTCACTTAAATAAAAAAAAGGTTTTAAGGAATCTGTGGGATACAGTTTTCACACCACTCTATGGAATGAAGCCTCAGCGTTTCAGAATCCATTTTGGCTTCAATCCTACAGTATGAGTTTTGACATTTAACTATATTATGATAATCCTACACACCGCTCTGGCATGCTTGCCCATACCTTAGTGTCTGCTTGGACTAGAGGTGGACCATCTGATTCCGTTTCGGATGGCACTCTCATTATTGTAGGTGATTGCTAGCCTCATCTTGCATCAAAAGTCTTTTGACTTCAACTAAGAACAATTTTGACTGAGATTATTACGACACTTGAATACTGCAGAGGGGCGGTGACATGTTGACTTTCATGGTCACCCTTGCAAACGCAATTCTAAGCAAGTATCCTTAGAGAACGTTGCAGCAATATGTAATGTTGCTATTTCTGTTAGACATCAAATCCTCATCCTTGGAAAAAAAAACTTGTGAGTTCTGTATTTCCGCAGCCCAATTCCTCCCTCAATTTCCCATTATGACACTTTTGCTCTGCATAGAGCATCCTGTACAGCGCAGATAAATCGGTACACTTTTATATGGAAACATTACAAAATGTAGTGGACTATTTTTTCTTGGTTTGACAGTGATTTTATTGAGCAGCTTTTGAATTTAGAGTTAAAGTGTGTCATAACCAAGTGAGAAAATTCCCTTTAGACCTGGAAATCGTTGCCTTTGTTCCTTTCTCTTTAAGAGAGTTGGACAGGATCTGAAGAATAACAAAACATGTTCACAATGGCAATGTAACTGCGCATTTTTGCATTTTTATAGATTTGTGTTATTTTTTAACAAGTCTCAGTGCACTTTGTTCAGTGTAATTACTGACAAGTAAACTACAGTAAATCCTGTAAAGCTTTTGGGAAGTCCTCACAATGTGATAGGCACTATATCAAATGCAAATGGGGGAAAAACAGCAATGGCTTTTTGAAGGATGAAATACAGCAGCCATTTTGTGTGCAACGAGGTCCTAGACAGGAGGAGCAAGACTTGTTAATCTATAGGATTGTTTTGCTGAAAACTGGGAGAAATTCCTTTCTCTTAAATAGTTTCACAGACATCTTTGAAGACCATATCAACAGGCAGATGGGACCTCGGCTTTACAATGTCCCTGGTCGTGCTTTATTGCACCAGTCGTACACTGAAATGTAAGCTTAAACTATAAGTTCAAGTTCTGACTTGGAGCTTGAACCTAAAACTCTCTGACCCGGAGGCAAGAGTACTACTAAATGAGTCAAGCTGAGTGTGAACACTACATTTGCGAGAATAGCCAGCTGTTGTGGGTGTCGAACAAAAAAAAAGGAAATCCCCAACAGGTCACAGGGTCCAAAAGAGAATATAGCCGTTCATCAGAATTGAAACTGAGTTAAAAGAGAGCTCTATATTTGGCAAGAAGCAAGGGAAATGCACGTGTAGTGAAAGAAGCATTAGAAGATCAGTTGATGGGCATTTGAAGGACTGCTGGCTGCATTTATTGGAAAACTGAGAATATGAGATGGTGGCTCAGAGGAAAATATTTAAAACGTTGCTGGAGTAGCATAGGAAATTGAAAAAATCACCAGGATTTGAACAGGATAAAATTTATATTCAGGCCCCAGAAGTTGTAGATCTCTCTTCTCTTATCAAATGGTGCCATGGATTTTTAACTTCCACCAAAACTGGTAGACAGGTCCTTGGTTTAACTTCTCATCTAAAGGATGGCATTTTGTCAGTGCAGCACTCCACCAGCGCTGTGTTGAGTGTTAACCAAAACTACAAACTCAGAGTCCTCATACATCAGTCCTTTGGATGAAATGTTGAATTGAATTGCTGTCTGCCTGTTCAGGTGGACATTAGAAGATTCCATAGAACAATTTGATGGGAAAAAAAGTTTCTTCCACTGTTGTGGCTAGCAACCTTCTGTGTAATATTGGTCATTTGCCCCATGGCTGTTTGTAGAATTTTGCATATGGAAAATAACTGTTGCGTTTGAGTCTTTTAAGACATTTCAGTGTGGTAAGGTGTTATAAAAATGCAAGCGCTATTCATTTTTATTCCACTTCAGAGTTAATAAACTTCATACTTTACACCTGTTGTTGCATATTCGTAGGACACCATAAGGATATTTTACCTAGTGTGTCAATTTTATTCAGCCAGATAAGTATAGCAAAACTATCATAAACCTGATTCACTTTGACACAATCAGGTTGTGGACCCTGACATCTTACCTAAATCTGAAGTCCTGATATTGTGCCATTAGATTTCTTTTTCACTTCAAATATTGTTGTGCTGACATGATTTGAAGTGCAATGTGCTGATGGAACAATATAGCGTCAGTAGCCAGTCAGGCTTGCTGTGCACATGCAAAATGATGTCACCAGTGAATGCTGATCAGCGTCTGCTTGATCGTATCCCTTTATAAAGCAAGTTGGAATTTTATAGATCAAAAACTACCTCCTTAAAACAGGATTGTGTGGTAACTTTAGTCAAAAATTTGATTTGCCCATGAAATAACATCTTACAGTATATTTCTGAAGCCATTTGAGACATTGCAATGGCGTGATAAGTGATTTATCAAATGTAAGAATTATTATTATCCCCATGCATACTTTTTTCCTTGCATCATATTGCATAATACTGTTTTGTGTACAAAATTTTACATTATGTGTAAAATAGATGGAAGGAATGTCATCAAACTTTAAAATCCGATCATTATGTGGAAATTAGTAAACTAGGTTATGTGATGTATTTCTCTCACTTTGTTTGTCTGGAACCATTGTGGAGGGTTTGTTTATTCTGCTTGTGGTATGACCACCTTATGGGCTAATATGTAGTGTTTTTTTAATTGCTGACTCTGCTTGCAAGGGAATAATATGCATGTATTCTGGATCGACAGTGCAAACTGATCATTGTGGCTGTGCTCCAAATTGGTCTTGACATTTAAGTTGTGGAATTCCCAGTTCTAATTGTTGCAGAGCATTAGCATTCATCTCTCTATGTGGTTGCATGTGTAACAATGTTAGATTATATGGTCTATAAACGGTGGCCCTCGTTCTTTGAAGTTTAGCCCTCACATAAAGCTCATGCCCCTTTATTTTCTGATCTGGTGCAGTATGGAGCTTTTTCTATTTAATTGCTACCTCGTGTTTATCTGAACAATTACAATAATAATAATCCATGCATTTGATATGGCGCCTTATCACATCTTCAAGACGTTTCAAAGCGCTTCACAGAGGCATATCCTGTGAAGTGAAAGCTGTGAGAAAATGCTGGACTCCCTCGAGTCTAAAATCGAGGGAATCCGCTCAGCTGCCACTACCCTCCCAGCTTCCACCCCCTCCCTTCCCCCACCCCACACTCTGACAATTACCCATCCCTCCTTCCACACATTTGAACCTGTCACCCCCCTCCTCTGGCTTCACCACCATATCATCCATAAAGCCCACCATCTGCTCCCTACCCCATCCCCACCCCTCTCCTTAAATCCCAGCTCCACCTCCTTGCCCCACTACTCGCCGACATCATCAACCTTTCCCTGTCATCTGGCACTGTTCCCTCCCCCCCCAAAACAGCCACTATCACCCCCACCTTGAAGAAATCTTCCCTTGACCCATCACAGCTATCCACCTACCGGCCCATCTCAAACCTCCCTTTCCTATCCAAGGTCCTTGAGCGACCAGTTGCCTCCCAGCTTCGTTCTTTCCTCTCCTCCCACTCCCTCCATGAACCCCTCCAATCGGGTTTCCGTGCTGCCCACAGCACGGAAACTGCTCTGGTCAAAGTCACAAACGACATCCTGACCATGTGCGACCAGGGCTCCCTCTGCCTCCTCATCCTCCTCGACCTCTCTGCTGCCTTTGACACCGTGGACCACTCAATCCTCCTCCACCGTCTCTCCTCCCACCTCAACCTTCAAGATTCTGTCCTTGACTGGTTCAGGTCCTACCTTTCACACCGCCTCAACTTCGTCGCAGAAAACGGCTTCTCCTCCAGCCCCCGCACCATCTCGTGCGGTGTTCCTCAGGGCTCTGACCTTGGTCCCCTCCTCTTCACCCTCTACATGCTCCCCCTTGGTGACATCATCCGCAGACATGGGGTAAATTTCCACATGTATGCGGATGACACCCAACTCTATCTCCACCCTCAACTCCAGGACTACTGGCATCCTGACCAACTGCCTGTCCGACATCAAGTCCTGGACGAGGGACAACTTTCTCCAACTCAACGTCAGCAGGAACGAGACCCTCCTGATTGGCTCGCGCCAGCGCCTCCGCACCTCAG